CAGAGGGAAGGTAGTTTTTATAATAAAAGGCCTATTGACTAGCACTTTGTCTATTATAGTATAAAGGTTAGGAATCACAAGATGTAGAGGCTCAACTATGTCATTTATTGTTCTTAAGTCCTGGAGCAAATTCCATCTACCACTGGGTTGTTTTACAACTTGGAAGTCCACATGCAAGGCAGAGGCGAAGTAAGGAACTGCTTATGAGGTTTTCCGTCAATTTCAACAACTAAGAAATAGTGAGAAGAGTTAGGATCTCAGAAGGCTTTTAGGACCAGATAGTAGGCTCTTGTGTCCAAGAGAAAACGAATATACTTACCAGTAATGTTAATGCTCACCCACAGATCTTCTGGGAGGATCTAAATCGTTGAAGCAGACTTTTGTTTTCTTGATACTGAGATGTAATCTACATGAAAGGCTATAGTTTTTGATCCTCTGCAGCAAATGCTTCAGGTCCTCCTCACTTTCAGGAGGTAAAGTTGTGTCAGCTGCATAACACAGATTGTTGATGATTGTTGCTGCTTATCTAATTGTTGATGAGCCTTCCTCCAATCCTGATGCCATACTCTTCTTCATAAAATCCAGCTTCTTGGATGATTTACTCAGCACACAGGTTGAATAGGTATAAAGAAAGGATATGTCCCTGATACACACCTTTCTCTGTTTTTTGGTTTGTTGTTGTTTTTTTTTTTTAGTTTGAAATTTGTTTTATTTATTTCTCAGCAATTGTAATGGGATTTTTTTTTTCTGTTTGACATCCTCTTGCCTCCTATGTATCTGCAGGGCAGGAGGGTTTTTTTTGGGGGGTGGGTGGGGTGTTTTTTCTTTTTTCCTCCCCTCTATTTATTGAGATTTTAATGAAAGATTATAGAGAACTTGGATTTCCATTTATTCATTGTTGCACATTTTCCTCCACGCCTACTACTCTGCTCCCAAGTTCCCCTTTCTCTTTGAGAAGAAAAAAAAATAAATTCTTTCATTTGTTATACAATCCCCCCCCACCCCAGTCCACTTTACTAAGCAGCTCTTATTCTGGACTTTTGTCATGCAAATAATACCTAATCATATATCCCTTTTAAACAATTCTCTCTCTCATCTTTTTCAATGCAGTGTACATTATTTATTCCCTCTTTTCTTAGTTTCCCCTCGAACACAATGTCAGTCCTGTTTTATAACAGTGGCATTATACAGTATTTGTAATTTTGTGATAGAGATATTTCACTCAACGTAAAGTCCTCCAGGGTTACCCATTTTGTATAATATTTTATGAGTTCCTTATTTTTCAATGCTGCATAGTATTCCATTGTGTGAACATACCACAGTTTCTCTATCCATGTGTTTGTTGATAGGCACTTGGGTTGTTTCCAACTCTTTGTTATTGTGAACAAAGCAGCAATAAACATAGGTGTGTATACATCTGCTTGGGTGGCAGTTCTGGTTTCTTTAAGATATATTCCCAGTAGTGGAATTCCTGGGTCAATTGGTATTTCTATTTCTAACTTTTTTTGAGAAAGCACCATACTACCAGAGTGGTTGCACAATTTCACACTCCCACCAACAGTGAATAAAGGTTCCAGTCTCTCCATAATCTCAACAGTATTTGTTGCTTTCTGTTCTGTTAAATTTTGCTATTATTACTGGGGTGAGATGATATCTCATAGTTGTTTTGAGTTGTTTTGATTTGCACCTCTCTTAGAGCTAGGGATTTTGAACATTTCTTCATGTGTTTGTTCACCATCTGAATGTCTTCTTTAGTGAAGTGTCTTTTCATATCCTGTGCCCATTTTGCAATTGGATTGTTTATCTTTATCTAGTTGTGGCGACCTTTATCAATTTTAGACCATGCAGTGTTCTTGCTCTGTTTGGATTACAACATCTTAATCTATGTACAGATTTTGTATAAACAGTTAGGTATTTTGGAATTTCCATTTTTCTCAATGTTAACTATAATTTGTTAAAATCCACACAAATGTCTTTGCATAGTCAATATTACATAAATGGACATTCTTCTGATATTCTATATTTTTAGCCAAGATCCACCTAATATCAGCAATAATATCCCTGATGCCACAGACTCTTCTAAAGCCTGCTTGAACTTCTGGAATTTCTCTGTCACTATACTGTGTTAACCATTTTTGGATGATCCTCAATAATATTTTGCTTGCATGTAATAATAATGATATTATTAAATAATTTTCACATTCTGTTGGATTACCTCTTTGGAGTGGGAACAAATATGAATCTCTTCCAGTCAGTTGGTCAGGTAAGCTGTCTTATAAATTTCCTGGCACAGACTGGAAAGCATGTCTGGGGCTGCATCTATTATTTAGAACATGTCAGTTGGTATCCCATCAATTCCTAGGGCTTCATTTTTTGCCAATGCTGTCAATGTGACTTGGAACTTCTTTCATTGGCTCTTGATCATATCACACTTCCTGAAATATTTCAGTGTTGACTGTTTCTTCTTCTTCTTCTTCTTCTTCTTCTTCTTCTTCTTCTTCTTCTTCTTCTTCTTCTTCTTCTTCTTCTTCTTCTTCTTCTCCTCCTCCTTCTCCTTCTCCTTCTCCTTCTTCAATGATGCCATGTATTCTCTCCACCTTCTTTTAAGGATTCCTGAATCATTCAAGGTTTTTTCCCCATTCACCTCTCAATATTTCAACTTTAGGCTTGTGTTTTTTCTCATTATTTCTGTTTAGGAAATGCTGAACAAGTTCTTCTTTCTTTATTCTCCAACTCTAATTCTTTTCATGTTTCGTTATAATAGTTTGCTTTGTCTTCAAGAGCTGCCCTTGATATCTTCTGCTCATCTCTCTTTCTTCAGTATCTCTTCCCTTTGAGCTACTCAATGCTCTAGTGCAATATTCAGTGTCTCTTCTGACATTTATTTTGGTCTTTTCTTTCTCTCCTGTCTTTGTAAGACCTTTTGCTCTCTTCATGAATGATATCTTTAATGTGATCTCTCGGTTCATCTGGTCTTCGATCCTTACTGTTCAATGCCTCAAATCTGTCCCTGAGAGGATTTTTAAACTTAGGTGGGATAGACTCAAGCTTGTATTTTGGCTCTTGTGGACTTCCTTTGATTTTCTTCAACTTCAATTTGAATTTGATGGTTTGTTCAATAGTCAGCACATGGCTTGGTTTTGGATGCTGATATTGAGCTTTCTCAGTGATTATTTCCACAGATGTAGTCAGATTCCTTTCTACAGTGTAGTCCATACGATGAAGTCCATGTTTATAAATGCAGTTTGCATTTACTTAAAAATATTTTTTCTATGAATAAATCATTGAATTTAAATACAATCATTCAATCTCCAGCCTCATTTCTCTCCACAAGTCCATAATTTCCAACTACCAATCCTTTTATTTTGTTTCCAATTTTTGCATTCCAGTCACCAATTATTTGGATTGCATTGTAATATCAAGAAATCAAAGATTCTTAATACTGGTTCAATAGGCAGTGTCATGATGGATGGAGAGGAGATTGAAACTGTAAACAGCTTCATCTTGCTTGGATCCACAATTAACACCCTTGGTATAATCAGTCAGGAAATAAGGAGATGCTTTGCCCTGGGAAAATCTGCAGTTAGGGACCTTTCCAAATTATTGAGGAGTAGTGATGTCAGTTTGAGGACTAAGGTGTGTCTGATTCAGGTCATGGTCCTTCCAATTACTGGCTATGCATCTGAGATCTGGACAATGAATAAGGATGACAGAATAAGAATTGATGCCTCTGAACTGTGGTGTTGGAGAAGAGCACTGATCATCCCATGGATGGCCAAGAAAACAAATAGATATGTCTTCGAGAGGGTGCAGCCATAAGTGCTCTTTGGAGGCAAGAATGATGAGGCTTTGCCTCACATCCTTTAGAAATGTTGCTAGGAGGTGCTATTCCTTGGAGAGAGACATGATATTGGGAAGGGTGGAGGGTCGGTGAAGGAGAGGAAGACCCTCAACCAGGTGGACTGAAAAAGTAAGTGCTGCAATGGGCTCTTGTAGGTGAGAAAATGTGAGGATGGCACAGGACAGGACTAGGTTTGGATGTTTTGTTCATAGGATCGCTATGAGTTGTACTCAACTTGATGGCACCTAACAATACCACCAACGCAAATTATTATTAATGTATCTTGACTGTATCGTTGGTCAATTTCAGACTGCAAATGTTGTTTGAATCCCTCATTTTCCTCTTCTTCAGCTTTAGCTGTTGGTGCCTTTGTTTGAATGACATTTGTATTAACAAGTCTTCTTTGTATGTGCATGAACAGTATCCTGTTACTCACTGCATTATACTTCAGGATAGATTTTGAGATGGTCTTTTTAACTTTGAATGCAACACCATTCTTCCCCATTTTTCATTCCCAGCGAAGTAGGTCATATAATTGTCTGATTTAAAGTGGCCAATGCCAGACCATCTCAATTTGCTAATGCCTAGAATGTCAATCTTTATATCTTCCATTTCATTTTTTACAACTTCCAATTTTTCTACGTTCCATGTTCCAGTTATTAATGAATGTTTACAGCTATTTCTCCTCGTTTAAAAAATGTTTTCTACTCTGGGAGTCCTACCTCTGGTATTGCGGTTAACATGGTTCCTCTAAATTGTTTGCAGGATTTTCAAATGCCAGCTATTTCACAGGTGAGTGGTCAATACTTCTTAGTCTGTCTTAATCTGGAGGTTCTGGGGAAACCTGTTGACTATGGGTGATCTGGTGGTATTAAAATCCCAGTGGCACAGCCCCCAGCATCACAGCAGCCAGTAATTTATCTTAGTATTGTACTCAGAAGAGCAAACTATGAGCAAGCAAGCATATACTTGCAAAGATACATGGTTCTAATCCACCAGCTGATCAGTAGGAAAAAGATAAGTGATCTCTTCCCATGTGATTTACTGCCTCTGAAAACCCACTGAAGTGTCAGCTATGGGTCAATTATGCCTCCATGGTACATAACAACAACAACATAAGTAGGTGAGGGAGCAATCATGGTTTATCAGTAAAGAGTTGCACTGCCAATCTAAAGGCATGCAATTCAAATCCACCAGCTACTCCATGGGAGAAAGATGGACAATCTCCTCCCGTGAGATTTACTGCCTCTAAAAATTGACTGGAAAGTCAGCTATGGGTCAGTTCTGACTCAAGGGTACATAACAACAACAACAACAACAACAATATAAATAGGTAGCCAAGGGCCCTGGTGTTTCAGTGGTTGAAGTTCTTAACTGTTAGCCAAAATGTTGGCAGTCCAAACTCCCTGGTCATTTCATAGGAGAAAGATGAGTCAGGGCACTTCGATAAGCATTGAGAACTCTGTGTAGCAGCTGTACTCTGTCCTATCAATTTAGGGGTGAATTTCTGGGGAAATTTTAACATCAAGGTTACATTTACTTAAGTATTTTAGCTGGGCCACTAATTAATTAAGCTATTATGTGTCATGTTGACATTAGAATCATTTACTTCATCTATATTTACAAAATTGCAGGTGATGAAACAAACTGTGGAATGTGTATATATATATATATATTTTTCCCCCCCAAGTAAGGAACAAAAGCATGAGAAGTGCCCTGAGTTTTAGAGACCTCAGGCATGGGTACTGTGTTTTCACTACATGCTGACTTTCCAGGTGATGTTCCTCAGCACTGGACCTCCACGAAACAGCAGCATCTGCAAGTGGTCCAACTACCACCCGGCCAATCAGAATACAATAACGTCAAGAGCAAGTTCAAGCAGACTTGTCCTTCGAACAAAATAGAAAAGGTAAGGTTGTGTTTAAAGAAGACTTAAAAAATATCAAAGGAATTAACATGAAAGACTTAAAAAAAATGTCTTTTCCTTCTTTAATACCTTCTATTAATTTAAGCAGAAATTAGACTTACTCAAACCATAGACCTCAAATCACATGGACATTAGAAGTAATGAAGGAGAGTGTAAGGTCAAATGTGCATGTTAGGATATTTTTCATCTTAATTTAAAAACAAATATCTACTCAAACAGATCAAACAATGTTAGTTGGCTGTGCTGTCAGTAGTGCCAGCTTCTCCTTGAGGCTGGCCTTCCCTGGTAGGGGAATGACTTCTGACAGCAATCAGGGATTCTATGGTTTTTCATTTACATCCACTAGAAAAGAAACTGAATTTGTCCCATAGTCACTGGACAAGCAATCCTGAGATTTGTGTTGAATAGGCCACCTTTAACCACCCTCCATGGCTATGAAATGCCATCCAAGTACTGACTGATAGGCCTATAACTGAGTGTTCCTTAAGGTAAGGATGATGAGAATTCATCTCACTTATTTTGGGCCCACTATGAACTGTGGTGTTGGAGAAGAGTACTGAATATCCCATGGACTTCCAAAGAACAAACAGATTTGTCTTGGAATATGTGCAGCCAGAGTGCTCCCTGGAGGCAAAGATGTCAAAGCTTTATCTTTCATACTCTGGGCATGTAGCTAGGTGAGACTATTCCTTGGAACAGGGCAGTATGTTTGGAATGATGGTCAGTGAAAGAGAGGAAGCTCCCCAATGAGATAGATTGGCATGGTGACTTCAGCAAAGGGCTCCTCTAGTGTGTCCACAATGACAGGGATGACACAGGACAGGGCAGGATTCAGGTGGGCTGTTCATAGGGTTGCTTTCAGTCATGCTTGACGTGACAGAACCTGACAACAACAACAACAACGAGGACAGGGCAGCCCCTGCAAAAGGGCATCATGATTGGGAAAGCAGAGGATCCAAGAAGAAGTGAAATGAGTTGAACTGAAGCAGTTACAACAGGAATCTCACAGAGGAGCTTGTAAGGATGGTAGAGGACTAGGCAGGGTTTCCATCAGGTGTGCATAGGGTCACTGTGACCCAGCATCAACTCAATGATATCTAAAGACAATAACAGCTTCTCATGAATCCCCCAGGGTGCTGGAAAGACTTCATTGCTACCTCCATTAAGCTACCTCACGTAGTCGCACCTCACTCTCCTTAAGGTCTCAGAGTCAGCAAAACAATCATTCCTTCTGTTTTCAGAACTTCTCAACATTTACTATCTGCAACCACCCCATTATTCTTGATTTTCTTCATGTTTCTAGGACATTTTCCTCTCAGATTACCTTATCTCTGTCCTGGCACAGACCCCTTCAATATTATTCTTGTGCTCTCATAACATCAATGTGCCCCCTAAAACCATCTCTTATTACTCTATAGTGTGGTGATTTGCTTCCATGTCAACCTCACCCACCAAATTGAAAGCTTCTTAGATAGTGGCCCAACCCCGTCTTTTCCTTCATAATAGATCTTAAACAGATTATTATTGAATTACTTTTTCTAGGAAGGAGATAAACAAAACAAGTGCCATATTTCAAGAAGTTAAGGAAGGACAAAGTGCCGAGGAAGGAATGATTCATGACTGGAAATACTATTCAGAAGCCTAGAGAGAAATCATTGCTTTTCTCTCTTGTTATGTCGAGTTAGAACTGACTCATAGCTGATGCTCTACTGAATTTTCCAGGATGGAAATTCTGAGAGGATATTGTCCAACTTTGTCCCATGGAATTTCTGGTGGATGCAAACCAGCAGAGAGGCTCAATCCTTGGGTTAGCAGTACAACTTCCTACAGACTATGCCACCTGAACTCCCTAGACAAACATTGGAATAAACCATTATGAGGCATCCTGGTTGGCAGAAATGGTTAAGGATATGGCTACCATGTACTCCTGAAAGGTCACAGTCTTAAAAACTCTACGTATCACAATTTTACTTTATACCATAAGGCAAAATTGACTGGAGGGAAACTAGAAAGTTAATAAATGATAAAGTATTGAATTGTGATTTATTTATAAAGTTTGAATACATTGTTTTGCACAAAAGATCCTTCCCATTTCCTTTACCCCACTCACCCATCGAATTGTGCAACCCTATGATTATCATTCTGCCCCCCCCCCGCATCCTGACCCCTCTATTTCTACCCTTACCCCTGCCTTGGATCTTCATATTCATTTTACAATAATGGTTATATACAGTATTTGTCCTTGTGGGATTGAGTTAATTCACTCAGCGTAATGCTCTTCAGTCCTTCCCAAGTTAGGTAGTAATTTATAAAATCATTGTTCCTGCGTGCTGCATAATATCCCATTGTATGAATGTACCACAACTTCTCAATTCATTCATTTGTTGTTGGACATTGAGGCTGTTTCCATGTTCTTGTGATGGTGAATAACGCTGCTATGAACATTGGTGTATAAGTTTCCATTTGAGCCTCAGTTCTCATTTTCTTGGGGTATATTCCAAGCAATGAAATAGCTGGGTCATATGGAATTTCTATGTTCAGCTTTTTGAGGAAGTGCCAAATTGCTTACCTGGGTGGTTGCAGCATTGTACAACCCCACCAATAATCAGAATTTTTTAAAAAGGTATTTAATTGTAAGCAACATGGGAGCAATGCAGAAAGAACTGTCATTGGAGAAGGTTGAAAATGAAGAGTTAAGTGCTTATTAAACTATTACAGTTTTGACTAGTTGTTTGAGTGTTAGTGAGTCCTCTGAGAATTGCAGAGAACACATGTAGGTAAGTATTTAGATATATGTCAAGATTTCTGTTAAGTAGAGTACATATTAATGAGCATTCTTACAAAGTGTAGATGCTGGCAGACGTCTTTGGAGACTCTGACATTCTGGATTTGCATTTCGTCTTTCACATCCTCCTTCCTAATGTTGCACATTTTAAAATTTGCAAAAAAAATTATGATAATGTCAAACCCTAAGGTCATTACCAAAATCACTTGTCTTTGGTCTCTTGCAGATTGAGAGAATAGAGAATGTAAATCTCTGGCAGTGCTACCAGCTAAAGAAAAAGCAGATGGATATCAAGAATGGTCATACAAATAATGAGGAAATCCTTTTCCACGGGACAGATGTTGACTCACTGCCACATGTCAATCAGCACGGCTTCAATCGCAGTTACGCCGGGAAGAATGGTAAGGAAGGCAATCAGCTGACAGCTCAGAGTGACGTAAACAGGGTCGTTCTGGTGGGGAGCCTTCTCAGCGGCAGCCACGTTGCCCTTGACAGCACAGAGCTTAGCGTGTTTCACCTGTAAGGAGCCTGGCATCTTTCTGAGGACAGGTGGTGTGAATTTTAGAAATGACGAAAGTGTCTTTTGTGAGAAAGATGTGCTTTTAAAAGGATGCAAGACTTGGATGTGGTTCTCCATACTGTGTAAGTTTCTATGTTCTTAGAAAGGCTTCTGTGCTTCTCTTCCCAGCTGCAGTCTATGGAAAAGGAACCTATTTTGCTGTCGATGCCAGTTATTCTGCTGATGATAGATACTCCAAACCAGACAGGAATGGGAGAAAGCATATGTACGTTGTAAGAGTTCTCACTGGAGATTATACACGTGGACATGCACACTTAGTTAGTCCTCCTGCGAAGAATTCTGTCAACTCTACAGAGGTATATGACTCCGTCACAGATGACCCACAAAACCCGAAGATATTCGTGGTGTTCAATGATAATCACTCTTATCCTGAATATCTTATAACTTTCCTCCCTGCTTATAGTTAACTGCCATGTAGTCAATTCTGACACATAACAGGCTTACATGTGCAGAGTGATCTGCTCCCACTGAGTTTGCAAAGATATGACCTTTTGCAGGCAGACTGCCAGGCTTACTTCAGGGGTTTCTGAAGTGCACTCAAGTTGTCAACCAGCTAGTTGTCCAGTACTTAACCCTAACTGCCACACAGAGTCTCCTTCTTAATGTGAAATATGACTTAGTCACCTGACTAAAATGACACTTTACAGACCCATTACCTTTGCCTTTAAAATGGTCCTGTTTATGAGATGAAATACTGAAAAGCACCTTCTGAAGATACTGCGCGCCTGCCAGTGGTAATATACCTCTCTTGTGAACAAACTGACAAGTACAAACTGAGAAATGTGTGTTGCACAGTTACAGATACAACTATCTGCAGATACCAAACATATACGAAAGGGTGTGTATCTTTTTCCAATGTGGAAAGAAATAGGATGGATCACTTTTAGATCAAAGTGTCATTGTTCTAACATGCTAAGACATACATGTTAGAATATGCTAAGACTATGGCTTACACTACTAAGGCAGCAGAGACTAGTGAACAGATGGAGTGGGTGAAGGACCAGATAAGGTGCAGTGGGGATTTGATAGGACTTGGGTGCTAAAAGGCATTAATCAGCAGTAATTAATTATATAAAACATAATGTATATGAATGATTATATAATACACAAGCTAGATTAATGAAATGGGGTATATATGAATGATTAGAATAAAACACAATACACATGAATGAAAGACAATGCATTTAAATGATTGGGTAAAAAAATGTACATGAATGAAACCCACTGTATGTGAATGATTGTATAAAACACAGGGTACATGAATGAAAACAATATATAAATGATTATATAAAACAGAGTACATGAATGAAAACAATGTATAAATGATTTTCTAAAGCACAGTGTGCATGAATGAAAACAATGTATAAATGATTATATAAAATACAGTGTACATGAATGAAAACAATGTATGAATGATTATATAAAACACAGTGTACATGAATGAAAACAATGTGTGAATGATTATATAAAACACAGTGTACATGAATGAAAGCAATGTATAAATGATTATATAATACAGTGTACATGAATGAAAATAATGTATAAATGATTATGTAAAACAGTGTAATGAATGAAAACAATGTATAAATGATTATATAAAACAGTGTTCATGAATGAAAACAATGTATAAATGATTATATAAAACACAGTGTACATGAATTAAAACAATGTTTGAATGATTATATAAAACACAGTGTACATGAATGAAATACAAATGCATACGAATGACTGTATGAAAAACAATAAAAAATATTTAAAAAAGAAACAAAATCAGACAATCTTGTGATCTTCTATGCTGAATATTCTGTTCATCATCAAAAAGGTATTTAAAACTCTATCTTGAAATATAATGCTGTGATAGAACAATTCCATGCTCATACAATGAATATGTCAGCTTTTATTCAATGGTACTCACCTCCCACTAAAGTTAAAGATTAATAATTTGTTTAACAATTTGCTGACTTCTGCAGCCTGAAATCGATTGAATATGAAATCAAGATCATTACTAATAATTGGTGACTGGAACGCAAACATTGGAGACAATAAAGCACTAATCGTTAGAAAATATGGCCTTGGAGACTACAATGAGGCCAGAGATCACATGGTAGAATTTTGTATAATCATAATGTAATCATTGCAAATATAACTTGAAAAAGGTTAAAATGGAGATTACACACATGAACCTTTTTTGATGGAATCAAATTGACTGTATCTATGAAAAGAGATGGTCAGGTTGGGGCTGCGAAGAGACCGCGGAGAAGTCATTATCAGTCAAAACAAGGCCGGGCACTGACTTTGAATACATCATTAATTACTCACTGACAAGTTTGCATTAAACCTGAAGGAAATTAAAACAAGTCCATAAGAGTCAAAATATGACCTTGGGTTTATCCCACCTGGATTTTAAACTCTTTGATGCATTCAACAATAATGTCTGAGGACAAGTTGTAGGATGATATCAAGGAAAAAGACCAAAATGGATGTTGTTGTTGTTGTTAAGTGCCGTCGAGTTGTAGGCGACTCATAGTGACCCTATGAACGAAAGTCCTTAACACTTGTTTGACTTTCATCCTTTCTTCAGGTTCATAGGATTTCCGGAGGCAAGCTATTTCTGAAGTGGATGCCACTCCTTGTTTTAATTGGGGAGCTCCACCCCATTCTGTCCGCCATGGGACAGTGTTTGAACACTGTCTGCTATGGGACACGTTGAAAACTGTGACCCAAAATGGATACCACAGGAAATTCAGAAGCCTGCTCTTAGACATAGAGCAGCTAAAACAAAAGGCAGAAATTAAGAAAACTGAACAGAAGAATTCAAAGCAGAAGCTTAGTATACTTTGCTTAGTAGATAAAGCAAAGCATTGTAACAATATGTACAAAGATCTGGAGTTAGAAAGCCAAAGGGGAGAACACACTCAGCTTTTATCCAGATGAATGAACTAAAGAACAAATTCAAGCCTCAAGTTCAATATTGAAAGATTCTATGGGCAAAATATTTACTCATGCAGAAAGTATCAAAAGAAGATAGAAAGAATACAACAGAGTCACTATACTAAAAAGAATTCACTGATACGGGACTGTTTGGGAAAGCAGCATGTAATCAAGAACAAAAGGTACTGAAGAAAGACGTTCAAGCTGCACTGGAGACATTGGCAAAAAGGAAGACTCTAGAAATTGATGGAATACTGATTGAGGCACTTCAGCAAACAGACACAGCCCTGGTGCTTATGAGTCCATGTCACGAAATTTGGAAGAGAGCTATCTGGACAACTGATTGGAAAAGATCTCTATTTGTTCCCGTTACTAAATAAAGGGTGATCCAACAGAATCTGGAAATTAGTGAACAACATCATTAGTAATACATGGTAGTGAACTTTTGCTCAAGATTATTTTTAAATGGCAGAAAAATACACAGAGAGGAGACAGTCAAAAATTAAAGCTGGATTCAGAAGAGGTCATAGCAGGAGGGTATCAGATATATCTCCGTTTAAGAGGCAGAGAATACCAGAAAGAGGTTTACTTGGGTTTTATTGACTATATAAAGGAAATCAACTGTAAGAATCATAACAAATTGTGGTTAACATGGAGAAGAATGGGAATTTCAGAACATTTATTTATTTCCATGAGAAACTTATATGTAGACCAAGAAGGAGTTTTCAAACAGAAAAAAGGAACGCAGCACAGTTTGGAATCAGGGAAAGTGTGCAACAGTGTTATATCCTTTTTTCCATACCTATTCATATCCAAGGAGCTCAACTATAGGAAGAATAATGTAAAACCAAGATTGGAGGACTCATCAACAACCTGAGTTAAGGAGATGACACAACTTTACTAGCAGACACTGAAGATCTGGAACACTCAGTGAACAAAATAAAAAAGGCTGCAGCTTTCAACATGGATTACACCCCCTCTGAAAAGTTTTCTCTGATTTTCCCCAAACAGTTCTTTCCTTTCTCTGATCTGCCATATGATCTCAAGTAACACTCTAGGTAAGAGATAGACGGTAAGCAATAGTAATAACAGGAGAAGAAGGTTTACATCTTTTTCAAGGAAATTGACAACTGCTACAGATCAGGAATCACGTCCATTCCTCCAACTTTGTGCTAGCCCCTCTTGAGTCCATTTCAACTCACGATGACCTCATGTGTGTGGAGTTGAACAGTCCTGGATTTTCAAGACTAATCTTTTGGAAGCAGATTGTTTGCCTTATTCTCCAAGGGACCTCCTTTGGTTGGACGAGGAGGCTGTTGACCATTCAGCTGGTAGTCAAGCATGCCATCATGTGTGGTCCCCAGTGACTCCTGTCTGCGGGTCTTCATGTGCTCCCCACACCGAGGACTTCAGTCTGTGTTACTGTTGCTTATAAGCGCCATCAAGTATGACTCATAGCAACCGTATGAACAACAGGCCTAAACCCTGACCTACCCTGTGCCATCCTCACAATATCTGACACATCTGAACCTGTTGCTGCAGTCACTGTGTCAATCCATTTTGTTGAGAGTCTTCCCCTTTTTCATTGACCCTCTATAATGTCCCTTTCCAAGGAATAATCTCTCCTAATAATATGCCCAAACTATGAGAGAGGAAGTTTCTTTACCTTTGTCTCTAAGAAGTACTCTGGCTACAGTTGACGTATTCATAGCAAATACAATTTTTAAGAGACATAAACGCAGGTTATATACCTGGATTTCACCTGATGGTATGCACAGGAATCAGAT